AAATAAAATCTTTAAAAAAAAAAAAATCTTTAAAAACAAAAAAAGGGGGGGGGAGAAAAAGAATTCTCCTTGAACTTGAGCTGCTTGTTTCAAGCCTTGACTTTGACATTTCCCAGCGCATTCCCCGTGGGCGGGGCCCATCAGGGCTGTTGCCATCACTGTGCCACTGGTTGTCATCTCGGCATTTGCGACCCTCTTCACCGTGATGTGCCGCAAGAAACAACAAGGTATCTCTTTGTGTTGTGTTTTCCCCCCAGGTTGGCAAGACATCGGCCAACAGAGGGAGCCTGGGAGTCCTTCCTTGGGCCCTTGGTACCACCGCCCCACCCCGGCCCCCAACCAGATGGGCATCTGGGAGGCCCCATAGGTCCTGTAGTTCCTACCATTAAGATGCTTGACTTTTAGCCTCGGGAGCCGTGAACATGAAGCCATAATTCTGTTCCCAAAGTCAGGGTGGTAAATTCAAGAACATAAATGAAGTCTAAAAGTATGAGTAAGGGTAGAGGCAGGGCTTGATGACTTATAAAAGGCAGGTGTTGGGAGGGAACTTTTTGGGGACCTTGGAAATGTTTTTCTGTCTTGATCTGAGTGATGGTTACACAGGTATATACTTAGATAAAAGCTTACTGAGATTGTTCTTAAGATTTATGCATTTTACCTTTGTAAGTTATACTTCAATAAAAGGGTTTTCTTTCATTTTTTGTCTTTTTTTTTTTTTTAAAGGTCAGCTCTGTTAGTGCTTAATTGGTCTGGTAGGTACACTTGGTTGCAAGACCTGCTTCTGGGTGCTCTCTGCTGACCAGAGTGGCCCCGGCAGTTTTCTCGGCTTACCCGAGGTATTTGTTGCTTCACTGGAGAAATCAGCTGTCCTGTTTCCAGTGGGGACCCCAGGGGCTGGGGACTGGGAGTATCAACTGTTGTTTCTTGAAGATGGCATTAGGTCCCAAGTCTTAAGGCACAGGACAAAGCATTGCTCGTAGGCATCAACCCTATCTTCTTTTCCAATTTAGAAAATATATATTCACATTTAGATGAAGAGAGTTCTGAGTCCTCCTCGTACACCACGGTGCTCCCCAGGGAGAGGCTCCGGCCGAGGCCGAAGGTCTTCCTCTGCTATTCCAGCAAAGATGGCCAGAATCACATGAACGTTGTCCGGTGTTTTGCCTACTTCCTCCAGGACTTCTGTGGCTGTGAGGTGAGGAATCTGAAGTCTCTTCTCTCTCCCTGGGCAGGACATGTGCCCCCATGCTCTCAACGCTCTCTCCCTCCCTCTAGACCTCCTTGGGTGACACCTGCCCTCCCCCAGTGCCTAGCTCCCTTCCAAATTGGGGTCAGCCTCACACTCCTCCTTCAGTCTGTCCTGCCCATCACCAGCACTAAATGTTTCCTAACCCTTAGTTCTAACCCTGACACTCAGACTCCTGTTCAAAAGCCTTTTGTGGCACCTACCTGGCAGGAAGTTTGATAAACATCAAGAAGACCGTGCAGTTGCATGGAGGGGAATGGCATGTATCCTGGGAACATGCAACAGGAGCGGGGGAAGTTGGTCACTCAAGACATCTTGGTGAGCCTTGCCAGGTCAAAGAGAGGATGGAAGATCAAGCAGTGGGTTTCCACAATGCTTTGGAGGAGTTTTGCTAAGAAGGGAGAACAATAATGTGTCAAGGACTCAAATGGTCAGCTCCGGTTTCTTGTCTGTTCTCCTGAGTTAAGCTATGAATATGTAGCTTTTCTAAAATGTCATAGTGCTAATTTTAGAGGGAAGTTTGAAGCTCTCACGGAAGGCGCACTGTGTTTCTTACCAATGCAAGAACTGTACAGTAACTGTGTTATGAAAGTTATTTGTGCTTTGATACTGCTGCCGGTAGGTTTCTTAGTCTTTCCACGGGGCAAGGCTTCCCCCTAGTGTCCATAACACCTAATTACAGGGCTGACACCTGAAGCTGGGGTAATGGGCAGATCCAAATGGGTACTGAAAAACCAACTGCAACCTCTCGCTGGTGCCACAGTCTTCAGACGACCCATGTGCTCTGCTTTGTAACTAACTAGCCTCAGGGGGAAAATGTCTTCCAATTATGAGTGTAGTACTTTAGGAATTTTCGAAACTGAAAAAGATGACTCCAAAAATGGCCTGTAATCTCACCCTGGAGAAAGAGGAACCACAGTTAATATTTGGTGTATTTCCTTCCCAGTTTTTTTCTACATAGATGAACTCATGCATTCAGTTTTGCATTTGGGGTGGATTAGGATGTTTTTTCTGTCCTTTCATTTAATAACTTTTTATACTATTGAAAGTTCTATGTAAACTGCAATTTTATTATTTTTTAAAGTTTATATTTAAAATCTGTCAGTTAACATACAGTGTAATATTAGTTTCAGGTGTACAATATAGTGATTTAGCACTTCCATACAACACCCAATGCTCATCACAACGAGTGCACTCCTTAATCCCCATCCCCATCCCCTATTTCACCCCTTCCCTGCATCCACCTTCCCTCTGGTAGCCATCAGTTTGTTCTCTAGAGTTAAGAATCTGTTTCTTGTTTTGCCTCTCCCTTTTTTCCCCTTAGGATCATTTTTGTTTCTTAAATTCCAAATGGGAGTGAAATCATACGGTGTTTGTCTTTCTCTGACTGACTTATTTTGCTTAGCATAATACTCTCTAGCTCCATCCATGTCATTGCAAGTAGCAAAATTTCATTCTTTTTTATAGCTGAGTAATATTCCATTGTATCTACATACACACTACATCTTTATCCATTCATCAGTCGATGGACACGTGGGCTCTTCCCATAATTTGGCTATTGTTGATAATGCTGCTATAAACATCAGCCTTTAAATTAGTATTTTTGTATCTTTGGGGTAAATACCCAGTAGTTCAATTGCTGGATCGTAGGGTAGTTCTGTTTTTAACTTTTTGAGGAACCTCCTTACTGTTTTCCAGAGTGGCTGCACCATGCAATTTTAAATAACCACATGATCCATAATATCAATTCATTCTAATTGAGTTATTTCATCTTGCTTAACATCTCAGTAGTTCAATTTTGCCTCATTTCTGATGATTTTCCAGAGCTAGAAGCCTGGAAATGGAATTGCTGGGTCAAAGATGGGAACATTTTAGAAATGCTTGGGTTATACTCTCCGTTAGCCTTTAGAATGTATAATACTAGTGATAATTAAGGGAGTATAAGACAATTCAGGATTCTTTTCAGCAAGTGGGTGGATCTTGGGGACCTTCTTCTTTAGAGCCAAAGAGGAAGAGAGAGTTATTTCAGAATCCCCTTTCCCGTAAGAGACTGTGGCTCCCATTCAGGCATAGCCACTGAGAATTCATTTCTGAACTACAGAAAGAAAGAGGCTGATAAAAGTGCGAAGAGACGTTTTCAGCAGAATCAGATGAAAATGATCTGAGAAGGTGAAGCCCTCTGAGGGGCACATGCGTGCCTGGTTTTCTTTCCTTTGTTGGTGCCCCTCCCCCCAGCTCCCGGAACCTCCTTGGGGTTAAAGGTCTAATATGGATATGACCCCCAAAGACTGCTATGAAGTCACGGTGGGAGGTGCCAGTCACTCACCGGTGAGCTAACCAGAGTGGCTGTGTTACTGCAGTCCACCACCCTCCTCTCTGGCCATTGACAGACTGGTAAACAGCATAGTTGACCCTGGGGCTGTGAGAGTGGCCAAGGAGGTCTTCTTTGTCCATCACGCTGTCTGGATGTGAGTCAGCCAGCATCATGGCCAACTCTGACATCCAGACCTCAGCCCCATTTTCTGCCTGCTTTGGGGTCCCTCACCCAGACCCATCCATCATCACCTTCCAGCTTTGTCTTCAGGATCTGCTGCACTCATCGCCATAGACCAACCCCAGGGTGCCCATTCAAGGGGCTCACTAGCACACTCTAAGTCCCTTAAGGGCCTCACTTGGGATATGGGACTTTGGCAGGTTGCTAGAAGCTCTGTGCGTCCGTCTTTTCCCTCAAACGGTGAGAGCAGGAATGGCCCCCACATTAGGCTGAAACAAGGGCACAATGCAGAGGGCCTGGCATGTGACTATCACCCACAAAATGTTAGCTGGTCCCAGATCCCAGCATCCCAGAACCTGCACGCAGCAATGCTGATAATACTTAAAGGACAAATGATGGGACCTTCTTGTAACCCTCTTGTTTTTGTTACCCGACTCCCCAGGCTGTATAGGTGAGTGAGGTCTGTGTTCTCTTTCCAGGTGGCTCTGGACCTGTGGGAGGACTTCAGCCTCTGCAGAGAAGGGCAGAGAGAATGGGTCATCCAGAAGATCCACGAGTCCCAATTCATCATCGTGGTGTGTTCCAAAGGCATGAAGTACTTTGTGGACAAGAAGAGCTACAAGCACAAGGGCAGTGGCCGGGGCTCGGGGAAAGGGGAGCTCTTCCTGGTGGCCATGTCGGCCATCGCTGAAAAGCTCCGCCAGGCCAAGCAGAGCTCCTCAGCCCAGCTCAGCAAGTTCATCGCCGTTTACTTCGATTATTCCTGTGAGGGCGATGTTCCCGGCATCCTGGACCTGAGCACCAAGTACAAGCTCATGGACAACCTTCCCCAGCTCTGTTCCCACCTGCACTCCCGAGACCACGGCCTCCCGGAGCCGGGGCAGTACCCCGGACAGGTGAGCAGAAGGAACTACTTTCGCAGCAAGTCCGGCCGGTCCCTTTATGTCGCCATATGCAACATGCACCAGTTTATCGATGAGGAGCCCGACTGGTTTGAGAAGCAGTTCGTCCCCCTCCGTCCTCCCCCCCTCCACTCCCGGGAGCCAGTGTTGGAGAAGTTTGACTCGGGCTTGGTGTTAAATGATGTCATGTGCAAACCAGGGCCCGACGGCGATTTCTGCCTCAAGGCTGAGGCTGCGGTCCCCGGGGTGCTGGCCGACTCGCCCTTGGAGGGCCCACACTTGGGCCTGGACCAAGATGCGGAGGCGGGGCCCGGGCCGGGGGGCGGCTCGGTCCTGCGGCCACTGCTGCACCCCGGGAAAGCCGCCAGCCCCTCAGACATGCCTCGAGACTCGGGCATCTACGACTCGTCCGTGCCCTCCTCGGAGCTGTCCCTGCCCCTAATGGAAGGACTCTCGGCAGATCAGACAGAAACATCTTCGCTGACAGAGAGCGTGTCGTCCTCCTCTGGCCTGGGTAAGGCGCGTGGTTGCTGAGAGTGTCTTTGGGTTGGGTTCCGGATACAGACCACAGCCTTTGTCCCTAATTCCCAAATCCATGCAAGTGTTTTTCTAATTTGGGTGCGGACTCATTGGCAATGAAGCTTATGGGAAGTACCACGACTCCATTGATAGTATCGATTTATTCTAGGCAATGGGGATGTTCACATGTGTGAGCTGTAGGAATACTGAGGCTAAGTTAGGGTGAGCTGCCCGGCCCCTGAACTCCACAGGCCTCTGGCTACCAAGACAGAGCTTGCCCCAAAGGTATTGGATGAGCGTCTGTGGACCTGTATCTTTGTTGGGATTTGTAGTGTTTGCCACCCCGTACCAATGCCACATCTTTTAACGATCCTGGGGTTGATGGGCACAGTGTTCTCTCCATCACAGTTCACTCAGCACAAGGCCAGGTGAGAGGGCCCTGGAGGAGAGCCCGGCCTCCCCAGGGAGCACCAGCAGGATGCCATCTGGAGCTGTTCCTTACAGTGCCTGTGGCTAGCTGGAGTCATGCATGCAAAGCCTTGACCTTCAACTAAGGGAACCTGTCAGCAGGATGAGACTGCCCTGCCTTGAGTTGGTTGGGGGGCTTGCCTCACTCATAAAGCCCATGGTCCAAACCCAGATTCAGCCACATTCTGGCCTGAGCCCCCAGCCAGGTGAAGTACAATGACATGTGGCTTTGCCCTGTCTTCTTTCCTTAGGTGAGGAGGATCCTCCTGCCTTCCCTTCCAAGCTCCTCGCCTCTGGGGCGTGCAAAGCAGAACCTGGTTGCTGCAGCTACACTGGTGAACTCCACGTGGTTGCCCCTTTGTAACAAAATGGAAGAAGAGTCTAAGCATTGCCACTTTAGCTGCTGCCTCTCTCTGGTCCCCCAGCTCTTCTCTCTGGTTGCGCAGTCCACTTGGAGCTGAGGTCTCCGACAAGGATATTTGGAGTGAAATTTGGGCCAGTACTTGCTCTCCTTGCCGCATCCCTCTACCTGCTATCTTGGCAAAGTCTCCAATTTTCTAAAATCATATGGATATCTCTGAAAGGCATATCCATAAGGTCGGACAGCAGCTTGTCCTGTTAGGTCAGACCTTGGATTAGAGCCAGTTCTGGGAGGTAGGGAGGAAACATGCACAGAGAAACAGGAACATACCTGCACTGATCACTCAGATTTTATTTATCTCTGCAAACTTTGCCTGTTTGCTGTTGGCTACTTTGATGTGAAATGCTTTGTGGGAGAAGCACTTTTAGTACCATTCTAGCTACAGAAACCAAGTGCCAGTCTATCTGGAATCCATGTTGTTACGGATGATGTTCTTGTCTGGTTTTGGTGTAGAATTTACAGTGCTATGGATGTCAGAAAAGCTCCGAGTCAAAGGTCAAGAAGGGAACTGAGTATATGACCACCTTTCATAAAATGAGTCTTTACATATTAGGGGGCGCCGTGGCTGCCTGAGGTGGGGGCTGCGGGGTCAGGCTGACCATCTTGACAGTTTTTTCTGACATAGGTTGGTCATCGTGCAGAAAGCACCAAAACTCAGAGCATGGGACCGCCTCTCGGTCTGAGTAGGCATCATGTGGGGGCCAGATCTGCCTGCCAAGTTTCCCTGGGTTCCATTTACTGTGCAGTATCTCAGATGTTGCTGCCTGGAAGTTTATTTTTAAAAGACGAATACCCAACTGGGCTGTCTTACTGGAAGCTGGAGTTCATGCTTCAGTGGGCTTCTGATCTAAAGCTGTGTCCAGGATAGTAGGGACCAGGACCGACTGAAATATGGCTGTGTTTGCAGGTGGCGGCCGCTTACTTTGCTGAACTGCTTTCGACTAATGATAAGCCTCATTTTAAGAAGGTGAGAAGGAGGGAACTGTCACAAAGATGAGTGTGCTCTTCTAATAGCATCTGAAGAAGACAGGAGACCTGAAGTCATTGAATTCTTGAATCTTAAAGTACTCCCCGCCCCCACCCTACCCCCCAACAACCCAGCCTGTGAATCATGTTTCACTGTGTGTTTCTGTTGTACTTACCCAGTGAAAGATTTGTCTCTTGTGCTCTCTCCTACCAAAAATAGCTATTAAGAGCTTAGGGAGAAAGAATTTGCTTTAAGAAGGAAAAGTAAATGTTTTGTTTCTGTGAATGATGTTTCTACAGAATTTCTGTTTCCAAAAGGGAAAACAGTTGTTCAAATCCTGTTGGTCTATTAGGTGTGTGGGTAATGATGCCTTGGTCTTCCCTGTGGAAACCCTTCTCCCCATGTCCTTGAGGGGTTGTGAGCATCCTTCTCCACCTTTTTCATGGGTGCTATTGGATTTGGGCACCCTGCTTTTACTCAGCACTCACACAGGGGACCCCGGGTTTTATTCCTTTAGCAGATAGGACCAATATCAAGGGAGATACTGAGGAACATCTCAAGGAGGGGTGGGAGGTGGAACGGGGCATGACTTTTCCATCTAAGCACATGCTTGGCAGGTGGGGAAGGGAAGATTTGCAGCCTTGCTGGAAAGAAGAGATGTGTGTGTATTTTTGATGCAAATGCCACACTCCATGTTCTGGAAAGGCAGCTGACGGCTTCTTGGGAGAAGAACGTGCTTGTCTGTTCTCCGGCATCGAGTTTCCTGCAGCTGCTCTGAAGGGGAGACAAGTGAGCTGCAGAACTGTCTCCCCCATGAAACCAGGCATCTTGTTGGAGAAGAGATGTTCCATGTCACTGTGGAATCTGGGACACGTGCAGAGCTTCTGCCCCCACGTGACTGTCCTGCCATTCTGCCTTCAGGATAAGTTCTGCAATGGAGATTGGTCAGTCCAAATTACTGACATGAAAATTCATTTGGAACATTATCGGAGAGATTGAGGCCAAGAAATGGTGCATGCTCCAAAGGAACCACTAGGAGCTACTTTTAGGATATTCAGCTTTGCACATAAAATGAGGCATCTGTGAGAAAGCGAGCCCCGGCATAGCATGGAGGACTGGGGGGTGGGGGGAGCATTGGCTGAGCTCCACGAGCGTGAGCAGAGAGCTTGCTAAATGAACTTACTTCATATGAAAATGCAAGGGGAAAAATGTGGTAGACCAAAAATCAGGTAAAGTTTTAGTTTGGATTTAGGGTTTGGATACCTGTTTTTAAGTACTAATGTTTCTTATGTTCAACACAATCAGAATCTAACATTCCAAGTAGCAAAACCATAGTATGAATGCCTAAGTCAGACTAAGTTGAGATGTCCCAACTTGGTGGTTTTGCCTTATTAGTTTCTCTTCTTCTTCTTCTTTTTAAACCCTCTCCATCTCGTGCTGGGAATGAGAACAGTTGCCTTGCAGATTAAGGCAAAACATCTGTTTTAAGCAGAGCTGCATTCTTTGACTGACATTGTCCCAGATAAGGGAAATGATAAGACAGAATTCAGATAAAAGTTCTGCCAAATCACAGGCTTTTAGAAATTGGGGCTACAAGAATTAGAATATAGGGATGGTCTCCATGAAAAGCCGTGATCCTGAGAACAAGAGGATTGTGTGGCTAAGATAGCCGGTGTCCTCTGAGCAGGAGACCGGAGGTAGGTGCAAGGAACCAGGTAAGCAAGTCTTGAAAGGGAGTTGAAGGTAGGGAGCTAGTCATTCCTCTTAACTCACCAGTACCCTACAGAAAGGACTTAGCATCGGACATAGTTAGCTTTGCAAGAGGGGGAGGGATCAGGGAGCTGGAAGCCCAGGTAAGTAAAGGTGTGCTTTTCTACCAGAGGTTGGCTCCAGGCAACAAGAACCACCTGGACAGACCCAGCCCAGCCACACAATGGGGGCAGAATGTCCTCCAGAGGGCCAAATCCTGGGCCTTGAGGCACATTGGTCTCCAGAAAGAATCGGAAGTTATTGAGGTCCAGGCCCAGGGTTGGGTGACCAGCTAGGTAATAGCATTTTGAGCCAAAAATGAGATGGGGCCTTAAAGTCATGAGACAGGCTTTGGCTGACACATTAGTAATAACTGAAGACAGTCCCAGAGCACAAGTTCAAAAAATGTCTTTAGCAGCTATGACATCATTGGAATCAATGTGTAGTAATTTAAGTTCATGTATGTTTGTGTATCAGAGTTCAGTCTTGCTACTTCATTGCTGCTAATGTCTTTTTCTTTCTTTCTTTTTAAACCAACCCCTCATCTCAGGTTCCCTGACTTAAGCACAGATAAACAGGAAGACTGTCCCTCCAAAAATGTGGAGTTACATGATTTTCAGAACTTGCCCTTTTTTCAGAATTGAGCAACTTTTAAAAGAAACAAAGGAAGAAAAAAGCTAAGAAATGATACACCCTCCTCTTAAAGAAAACCCCATGATCCCCAATAGCCTCAGCACTAATTTGGCTCTTTTAGGGGAGAATTATTCTTTGTGTCCTTATTGGAGAGAGGTGGACAATACCAATGTGAAGGTTATTAGCCTTTTCTGTTTTCTGTTGTTTGTGAAGACTGCTGTTCTTAGAGCAGATGTCTGTAGGGGGTACCAGTGCAACAGGCCAGGAGTAATGATAAATAAGGTGTGATAAATGGCAACCACCTGCCTTCTCAGTGTCCGAGAGACCATAGGGCCTGGTGGTGACTGTGGCAAACTGAAGTGCTTCCTGTCCCACCTGTAGGAAGGCAGCTCTTCCAGTCAGTTGTGGACATGTAGTGTTTACTGATTTTTCCATTTTTCAAGAGAAGCTGAGAATATGGATTTTTTTTTTTTTTAAGTAGGCTCCATGCCCAACGTGGAGCCCAGTGCAGGACTTGAACTCATGATTCCAAGATCAAGACCTGAGCTGATATCAAGAGTCGGACGCTTAACCCAACTGAGCCACCCAGGCACCCCGAGAATCTGAATTTTTATATGAAAAATTACAATTTTTTAAAGTATTGGCAATTAAATTTTTTTTTTTTCAATTCAGGCTCAACAGAACACATGAGTGGGCCTGATTTGGCCCACTAGCTGCCAGTTTGCCACTTCTGCCTTGTAATGTTTGAAATGAAAAGCATTCATGGTAATTACAGATGTCCGGTATCACCAGAAAATGATCTTGCTAAATGCAGCTGGTGGCTGGTGGCCTTGCTCCCCCAAAGAAGTCTGATATGATTGTGAATGTATGTTATCAATATACATTCACAATTATCAAGCCCTTGCACAACAAGAGCTATGAAGAATGGTTTAAGTAGGTGGGATTATTTACCACTGAAATAAAATTTACTCTTCATGGTGCCTTAAGAGAAAGGCAAGCCAGTTACTAATTTCAAAATCAGATTTATAAGGGGTGCCTGACTAGCTCAGTTGGTAGAGTGTGTGACTCTTGATCTTGGGGTTATAAGTTCAAGCCCCACGTTGGGTGTAGAGATTACTTAAAAAATAAAACCTTAAAAAACAAACAAAATCAGATTTATGTTCTCCAATTTAAAAAACATAACACTTGGAACAATTTTCATTTAAACTGCACAACCTACAGGACGTATTTATAGTTTTAGTTCTTGGCTTAATAATTTTTTAAACGATGTGCAATTCTGCGCTTCAGCCAAGACTTAATGAGAAAAGCAGGGATTGTAGGGAGTGGGGCAAGGAATCCCCGAGTGTCCACTAGAGCCAGGCCACTTGCGTTGTCTTCTGTTTGAAATGATCTGTGAATTGACTCTGTTTTGGAGATGTGAAACAGTATATGGAGAAAAGCTTTTCCTGATACTGAGAGATCAGTTAGGAGTCCTCGTGGGGTGTTGGGTCATCCTTTCTATGTCACCTCCTTTCCAGGCTCAGGGTGGAAGTAAACAAAAGGAAGTCTGACTGTAAACCAATAGCTTGGATTCCAATTTCAGAGTTTTGGAGCTGGGAGAAAGTTTGGATTATCTAGCATGTCTTCCCCCCCCGCTGGTGTCAGCCAGGGCTGAGCCTGAATTATTTCAGACATATGGCTATGGATGGGATTCTGGATTTTCAGGGAGGGAAATTCAGTAACCTACCCTGCTGATCAGATAGTCCTTTGTACGTCTTACAGAAATTCAAACCAGCCTTCTTTTGTTCTGCACATTGTGGAAAAAGAACAGCTGGTTACCTTCCGTGTATTTGAAAACCGCAGTGAAGTCATCCCCCTGGTGTTTTTATTTCAGTGGTAAATAATCCCACCTACTTAAACCATTCTTCATAGCTCTTGTTTTGCAGGGGCTTGATAATTTTCACTGCTATTCTGTGTCTCGGCTTCACGCTCAGTTTGGTTGTGCAAACAGAACATGGTGCCTGACTCACATTGGTGCCTTGTGAAGGCCAAGCTCAGGATGGGATTACAGGGAAATCCTCACGTGCCTGGCTTCTCTTACTACTTAAAACTATGGTGGCACTTTTAGAAAGTGGTATATTGCCTGTATTCATTTTGAGGATTATTTGATCGCCACATCCAATCCCCCCCCCCACCCTGCCCAGCAATAGCCTGTTATGTTTTCCTCCCCCTCTTGTGGTCAGACACTTGGTGCTTATTCTTGATGTGTTTAATGCCATTCCTGAGCTTCTTCAAGACCAACTCTCACCTTCTGAGTGGCAGCTCCCCCGCCCTCCCAATTACAGATTCTATTTTTACATATCTCTAGACATCACCTTTAACTCGTGACTCACAATATTAGTTTAACCACTGGCAGGATCGAGAATGGTTGCTAAGGGCTAATTTGCAAAGAGAGTGAGGGACGACCTCTTGGGAATTTTGGCCAGTTGCCTCCCCTCCTGTTCTTTGGTTCCTCCCTGAAATTCGGCTGGGACCGCAGACTCCTCCAGGAGCTTTCCTGGGTTCTGAAGGGCTGGGGCCATGACTCTGAATTGACTCAGCACTGTGTTTGCACAATCAGAAGTCTGACAAAAGCAATCCAATTATGATCATATCTGATGTTTATGTCATAAAATTTCAGTTGAGAAGATTCAAAGAAGCATTCTTCTGTTTGTACACAATGGGGACAAAGTTGGCTTCTCCATCCGTTAGACAAAAAAATTATCGTCGTGTCACACTAACCTGTAACTGTTATTTAAAAGTTTTGTTTTTTTCCTCAAGAAAAAACATGGTGAGTCTGGACAGAGCAAAAACTTTTGTAAAAACCGCATGTGTTCTTTTAGAGAGTAGGTAACTTCTATTTTCACCTTTTTTTTTTTTTTTTAACTACAGAAGCTCCCTGTTACTACGTTCTGGGCAGGGGGAAGCCTGTGGAACATGAACATGGTGATTGTTGTCATTATCTTTGTTTCATCTTTAAGATTGTCCTTGGTGGGGTTTGGAGGAATAGTGAGCACTGACAGACTATAGCAGTGTGCTGTATTTTTACATTGAAAATGATGTCTTATTTGATTTGTACATAACTGTAAATAGGTGACAGTAGGTCACAGCTGACATTTGCAAAATGTTGTTTTTGTACCTTAGAATTTCTGCACCAAATAAAATGTTTTAAGATTGCCGTGGTTCGTTAGTCTGCATCATCTTTCCGATTTCCTGAGGAGCTGGGTGCCTGGCACGGCTTTCTGAGGGCTCCACCTCGGAGAAGAAGAGAGGTTATCCAGGGTGAGGAGGCGACGGCGGCCAGTACGTCTTGCTCAGGAAACCTGCAGCCTTGACCATTTGCCTTGCCCTCCGGCGGGCAGTTGTGTATTGCTTGTGTGGAGTCAGGAACAGGGATATTCATGTCGAGGAGAAAGTCAACTGTCAGAACAAATGGACCTTCTTTTCAGAAATTTGAAAAGAAGGGCGCCTGGGTGGCTCAGTCCATTGAGCGTCTGACTCTTGGTTTCGGCTCAGGTCATGATCCCGGGGTCCCGGGATCGAGCTCCCTGTCGGGCTCCCTGCTCAGCGGGGAGTCTGCTGCTCCCTCTGCCCTCCCCCTGCTCGCTCTCTCTAAAATAAATAAATCTTAAAAAAATTTTGAAAAGAACCACTGAAATGTGGGAGCCACAAATGTCCTGCCATCCAATTAAAGTGCCTTCTCATTCTTCTGATAGATATTCTCTCACCTCCTGTGTGCCCCTGATCTGTGAGTTCATGTCTTGGGGTCCATTCTCAGCTCTGCTTCTGCCACAGTGACCCTGTGGCTGCACTTCTGGGCCTCAGTTTCTCATCTCTAGATTGGGCCAGTCAAAGGCCCTCCCTCACAGGGTGGTGAATGTGACGTGTTTACATAGTTGGTGCTCTGAAAATGACAGGGCCCCAGGAGGGGACAATGATTGGTAAGAAATAGCAAGGACACAGAATACAAGCCTCCTAGCCATTGCCTGGAAAGACTATGGTGGAAGTGCTGGGTCTTGGGAGCACTGAGTTTTCCTTGTTTGCTTGTCCTCCACCCCCCACCCCACCCCGGAGTGGTTAAAAAACAGCTCCGAGTGAAGCACTGCTGGTTGCCAAGAGGAGGAAATTCTGTCATGTTCTTGCCTCTAATCTTTGGCATAACCGTCATTTTCCTGTTCATATTCACTCAGGAGACTGCATGGTTTGCCCATTTATTTCTTCTTTCCTGTGCTCTCTGCCATTTCTCCATATTTTTAAGAGCCAACCTTTGAGCGCCAAGTGCTTTACATGCCATCGTCCCATTTACTTTGATCAGTTACTCTGCTATGTGGCTAATCTTACTGTCCCCATTTTACGATGAGGACACTGAGGCTCAGAGAGGCTCTGTCTTACTCCTGATCTCACAGCTTGATAGTGGCAGAGCTGGGATAGAAGCTGCAGCAAAGCCCTGCCTAGGCTGCTCACACGTCCCCTTGGTAAAGGTCTGGCTGTCCAGGTAGGTAGGGGTGGACTTGGAAGTGTCCATGTGGTCAAAGGCAATAGAGAGCTTTCCCATAACCTTGGGTGGGTGGAAGAAAGGAAGTGAGGACAGACAACCATGGGATTCTAGTTCTTGCTCTGAGTGCTTTTTGTGTCTTTCCTCACCACAACCCAACACACAAGGTACTATTAGCACTCCAATTTTTGAGAGTCTGAGACCTGGAAATCAGGTAGCTTTGCCAAGAGCACAAGCAAGGAATCAGCAGCACAGAAATTCAGATGACTGATTGAAGCATCTTCACTTTTTTTTTTTTTAAAGATTTTATTTATTTATTGTTTGAGACAGAGAGAACGAGAGAGAGAGAGCACATGAGAGGGGGGAGGGTCAGAGGGAGAAGCAGGCTCCCCGCCGAGCAGGGAGCCCGATGCGGGACTCGATCCAGGGACTCCAGGATCATGACCTGAGCCGAAAGCAGTCGCTTAACCAACTGAGCCACCCAGGTGCCCGAAGCATCTTCACTCTTAACCAATACACCACACTGTCCCTCAATATAGTTTATAGGATGAAGAAAAGACCTGGGGTAGCAAGTTTTGGTGACTTGGTTCCCTTATCTAAATATTGAGAGTTTGTCACACAGCTTAAGCAAACAGATCTAAAGAGACTCAATTGGAAGAATATTAGGCAGATGCTGAAGTAAGTATATTCTTTCCTATTAGTGGAGGGGGAGAGATTCCTTTTTGGACAGCAGAGAAATCCTAATTTTTACCACACTGGTAGAAAACAGTCTGTTTTTACACCTGCTTCGTTTTCTTTTTCTTTCAGTTTTTTAAAAGAGTAATCTTTACACCCAACATGGGGCTCCAACTCATGGCCTCACTATCCAGAGTCACATGCTCTACGGACTGAGCCAGGCACTCCTGTTTAGGGTTCTTATAATTGCCAACATCTGTGGGGCCTCGCCACTGGTTTT